TACATTTCTGCTACCTCGAGTTGCAGATATTCAATGAGAGGTTACTTCGAACACATACCTCGTCAACTATATGTCGAGAGGTAACTTACAATGGAATGTATCTTCCACAAACTCCAGTTCCCAGAACTGACCTTAAAAATCAACCAAGATCGCCTTGTTTGAGGGCTTCCTTAAATCAGCGACGTCCTAAAAGTATACTTTTTCCTTATTTCCTGGCCTTATTCCTTCATGCTATCCCTGGACACTCCTTTTAATTTTATTCAAGCCAAATATCCGTGTGCCCAGTGTTAACAATTCCTATAGACACTCCCCCCTGTTTGCGTTGTTCCCAACGCAAACAAATTTAGAAATTTAGAACGGATTCTCATCACACAGCAAATAAGAGCAAGGTGCACACACAAGTTCTTAAACGGTACATCTCCTCAACGCACACACACAGCACACGAACTGACCAGCACCCAAAGTTTGTGAGAAATCTCACGTTATCTGCCGGCGTCTTGAGCGGGAGTCACTTCGTAGCTCATGAATGGAACGCTGGAGAGACGCAACACGTCCCAAAAATCCTCGTCGCCATTCTGTGGTGTCGAGACAACGATGCTGATATGCTGTGATGACAAGAAATCCGCTGACACTGTCCTTGATTATAATGGTTTATTACATCAAAGATTACAGTATCAATTTACAGACTCCTGCAGAAGTCCGGAGAACAACTGACCCAATCTCTAATTTGTTATTCTCTCCGTCCTTTGTTCAAATACATACAGTGGGGTAAAAAAGTATTTAGTCAGCCACCAATTGTGCAAGTTCTCCCACTTAAAAAGATGAGAGAGGCCTGTAATTTTCATCATAGGTACACGTCAACTACGACAGACAAATTGAGAAGAAAAAAATCCAGAAAATCACATTGTAGGATTTTTAATGAATTTATTTGCAAATTATGGTGGAAAAAAAGTATTTGGTCACCTACAAACAAGCAAGATTTCTGGCTCTCACAGACCTGTAACTTCTTCTTTAAGAGGCTCCTCTGTCCTCCACTCGTTACCTGTATTAATGGCACCTGTTTGAACTTGTTATCAGTATAAAAGACACCTGTCCACAACCTCAAACAGTCACACTCCAAACTCCACTATGGCCAAGACCAAAGAGCTGTCAAAGGACACCAGAAACAAAATTGTAGACCTGCACCAGGCTGGGAAGACTGAATCTGCAATAGGTAAGCAGCTTGGTTTGAAGAAATCAACTGTGGGAGCAATTATTAGGAAATGGAAGACATACAAGACCACTGATAATCTCCCTCGATCTGGGGCTCCACGCAAGATCTCACCCCGTGGGGTCGAAATGATCACAAGAACGGTGAGCAAAAATCCCAGAACCACACGGGGGGACCTAGTGAATGACCTGCAGAGAGCTGGGACCAAAGTAACAAAGCCTACCATCAGTAACACACTACGCCGCCAGGGACTCAAATCCTGCAGTGCAAGACGTGTCCCCCTGCTTAAGCCAGTACATGTCCAGGCCCGTCTGAAGTTTGCTAGAGTGCATTTGGATGATCCAGAAGAGGATTGGGAGAATGTCATATGGTCAGATGAAACCAAAATAGAACTTTTTGGTAAAAACTCAACTAGTCGTGTTTGGAGGACAAAGAATGCTGAGTTGCATCCAAATAACACCATACCTACTGTGAAGCATGGGGGTGGAAACATCATGCTTTGGGGCTGTTTTTCTGCAAAGGGACCAGGACGACTGATCCGTGTAAAGGAAAGAATGAATGGGGCCATGTATCGTGAGATTTTGAGTGAAAACCTCCTTCCATCAGCAAGGGCATTGAAGATGAAATGTGGCTGGGTCTTTCAGCATGACAATGATCCCAAACACACCGCCTGGGCAACGAAGGAGTGGCTTCGTAAGAAGCATTTCAAGGTCCTGGAGTGGCCTAGCCAGTCTCCAGATCTCAACCCCATAGAAAATCTTTGGAGGGAGTTGAAAGTCAGTGTTGCCCAGCGACAGCCCCAAAACATCACTGCTCTAGAGGAGATCTGCATGGAGGAATGGGCCAAAATACCAGCAACAGTGTGTGAAAACCTTGTGAAGACTTACAGAAAACGTTTGACCTGTGTCATTGCCAACAAAGGGTATATAACAAAGTATTAAGAAACTTTTGTTATTGACCAAATACTTATTTTCCACCATAATTTGCAAATAAATTCATTAAAAATCCTACAATGTGATTTTCTGGATTTTTTTTCCTCATTTTGTCTGTCATAGTTGACGTGTACCTATGATGAAAATTACAGGCCTCTCTCATCTTTTTAAGTGGGAGAACTTGCACAATTGGTGGCTGACTAAAATACTTTTTTACCCCACTGTAGCAGACTCTCCTCTGTTTTAGGGGGCCCCTATAGTAATGTTTTCCAGATGTTTCCGCAAGCAGAGCCAAGTTCTGGAATGTTCAGATACTACACCATACAGAAACATTATTACATTTATTTTCAGTAAATTCATTATGTTTGTTCTTCATCATTAACACTTAGCTCTAAGTATAAGAAAGTGCAAGCAAACGAGCTGCGACGAGGTAGGCCTATTTGTTCCACACTTTCAAAATGGACACCGACTGAAATTCAGATAGATGTTAATTCAGATAGAATCAGCAAGATGTTGAGGCCTTAACTTTACTCTTCTTCTTAAATCACCAAAGAGAGAGAGAGAGACGAGAGAGACGCGGTTAGCCTACCATTTAAAGTATTTTATAAGGCCTATGTGGTCTAAAAAGGAAGGAAAATAGAATCACGAGGTTCCACTTTTAAAGACAATATACCGACACACAGACAGCGCGCCGCGCAAACAAAACAACCCTTGCAATATCAACTGTAATTACATTGGTCTATTACTGATCTTTTTTTAAAATTATTTTGGGGGAAATTAGGAAGAGACTGTCACTGGCAACATGGTTACATGCCCAACAACATTATATAGTATCCCCTCCTCGTGGAGAAAAGCACATGAGCTAATTATAATACACAAAGTAAGCAAAACAATGAAATGCATAATTCCAATATCTAAAATTATTAATAAGATACTAATGACATAGACCTATATAAGCAATAACTATGGCTTAAGGGAACGATGAGTGGATAAGAGTCAAGCCGTAATTTTGATTAAGACATTAATGAGCGAGCTAAGACGGATGTAGTCCATATGCCTATTTGTTCAGCACTTTTGAAAAGGGCAGCGACAGAATTCAGAACATGGGCCGTTCTTACAGTATTCTCCCTGTACACCAAGTCAGAACCGTAAGATAAATAAAGGGGGCATATAAGCAGACAATGAAAGCGCTTACAATATTCTATGATGACAATTCTCTAAAACAGGCTAAAGGCTACATGTGCACCACCAAGTCAGAACAGTAGGCTAAGTTCTAAGGGGGAGCGGGACCAAATTCTTAGGGTGAGACACATGGGTTACTAACAGCTTACTACACAACATACACTTAGTATTACTTTCTTAGCTACAGTATACATATCTCCCTAGCATATTACATAATTTATGCAGCAGCATACAATACATTTTTGGACTAACCTTGTTGTGCTGTGCTCACTTGAACAAGAAGGTGGCGCAGTGGTCTTTCTTATGGGCATACGTTGTCATCAGACTTTGTCATCAAAGTCTGGCATTCTCTGGATGAAGTCATGCTGGATTGACAGCATGGCCAATGTATTCAACCTTTTCTGGCCCATGGTGTTGCGTGTGAATGTTTGCTTTAAGCTTGGAAAAGAGACCCTTTCATACAGATGTATTAAATCCTTATACCCAGACTTGGACCACAAACCCTCTCCACCGAATAGGAGGCAGGGGAAGCTAAATAGTGATTGCTTTGCCAAGCTCGCAGTTAGCCACTGATTCCTTCCAAACCACTCATTGTTGAATTTGCAATTTCCGTCTTTTATGTCCAATGGCCGATGTGCACCAATATATTTGATCTATAATTTATCTTCATATGACAAGGATTGAAAAGGATTTGCCAGTAGATTGTCCACATGATTCATGATGATGACTGCTTGCTAGCTAAGATCTTGAAAGTATGATGTTGACATGATCAGTCCAATCAAAGCTATGGTAGATATAACGTGATTTTATGTCATTTAATCTGCGGCCAATGACCTTGAGCCTTCTTGGACGGGCACTTCTACTGTAAATCTATGGCAGCACCAAAGGGGGCTTGAACTGCCACCCCTCTAGCTCTCTGTATTTTTCTGCAGTGACATAGTGTCCCCATGAGTGACAGAACACTGAGCCAATCACAGCGCAACTAGAGAAGATTACAAACGCCTACACCACAGATAGAACAATGAGAACATCTTTGCCTACGCTCTGTATTTTCCGCTGGCTGCCCCTCCACCACAGAAAGCACTAAGCTAGGTTGAAACACCTGCGTTTTGGAGCTGCCTTACTCAAGAAAGAGACCATGTTCGTATGCGACTTTATTAACTCACATAATTTTTTGTTTACATTGTTTGCAAACTGATATGTGACACGAATCAATGCCAGAATAACATGCAAAACAGGCCAATTTTTGGGGTGTATAATATATATATATAATTTTTTTAGGAGCTGAAGCCCCAGCTGCCCTGAATGACAGGTCACCACTGACTGGAGCACCCCTGCCTCCCGCCTGTCCTTTAAACATTTACCAATAGAAGTATAAAGAGGGGTTCCTGCAAATGCAGGAATTCCCACTTCCTCCTTCTTGCTTTCAATGAGAATGACAGGTTTATAACTCACATTTCTATATGAATTTGTCGTCGCCCAAAAAGTTACATATTGCAGCTTTAATGATGAATACATCCTATACAAAAATACACAGAAAGATATATATATAATAAAAAAATGATTCTGATTAATTTCTATGGCCTCACAAATGTATTTTTTAGAGAGTCAAAGGGGCGTGCTCCTCACCTTATCACGTGCTACGGACTGCAACACCATTGGCTTAATAGGAGCTTCCTGATTCGTCTTATAGCTGTCTACTTTCGCTCACACTGTAGCTCGAAATTCCCTCCAAAGTAAATACACAATGTTTGTATTTTTGAAATGATTACATTTAACATTAACGAGAAGATAACGTGTTGATTCACTTAGACACTAAAGTTCTCACGACATAGCCAGCTGTCACTGTGTTGTTGACAGTGAGGATTATTTTGCTCGACGAGAACTGCAGCCATGATGGCGTCTAACTACAACGCTAAGGAAGAGTACGGACACCAGCCTGGTGCTACGGGCCATGGAGGCGCAGGAACTATGACAAATAAAAAGCCGGACAACACTGCGTTCAAACAGCAAAGACTGCCCGCGTGGCAACCTATTTTGACAGCAGGCGCTGTTCTTCCTGCTTTCTTTGTCATTGGTCTCATCTTCATCCCCATCGGCGTTGGGCTTTTCGTGACATCAAACAACATCAAAGAGTTCGCGGTAACGTTAGCTAACAAACCATAAAGTATAGATACCATAGCATAGTCAATTCATTTTGATTGTGTATGGGTTAACTCTGTTGGCTAGCTAACTATCTTTCAGTTATTGTTTGCTTTGAGTGTAATTGCTAGCTAAATTGTCGCTGTGTTATTGATCATCTCCCTAATTTACAGATCGATTACACTGGTGTTGACATGTCAAGTCCGTGCTACAACTGTTCTCAAAGCTACAGCTGGAACAGCACAAAGTCATGTACCTGCTCTGTACCCTTCGCTCTGGATCAACCATTTGAGGTAAGCTGAACATAACCTACAGCCTTATTTTCCCTTTGGGGTTCTCAAAGTACTGTATAATCACAATTAAAAGTGTAGGCAAGTCGATCAGTAATAACTGGACTGGAGGCATACTTCCGTTTAGTGTCCATTAACTACTCTTTATCTGCTCTATTTAGAAACACTTAATGGTCGGCCCCTGTGTCTTCAGAATCGATCATTACTATTTTAAACCATTGCCCTGAATGTTATTTATTATGCACTCAAATAGCTTTTTCAGGAGGATGTTATTATGTGAAGGAAATCCTTATTTAGACACTCAACCCCCTGCCCTTTCATCTTGGAGTTGCTGCATTGTTGCATTGTCTTATGAAGGCCTATTCTCTCATCCGATGAATAACTAATCTAATTCATGACTCATTGATCTGAAATTCTTCCCCTACAGAGCAACGTTTTCATGTACTACGGATTGTCAAACTTTTATCAGAATCACAGACGCTATGTGAAGTCAAGAGATGACAGCCAGTTAAACGGAGATAAGACTTCTCTACAGGTATGTTACAGGTGCACTGTTACGAACCCTGTGGCTTTAAAAGTCTAGGGTGGATGGAAAAGAGACCCGTAACATAACTCATGCAAATTAGAATAGTGACACGGAAACAGTGAGAACAAAAATACATCGACAACCATAAGCTACCGTCAAACACAAAATGTTTATTATGAACACACGGTAAAGGTTTGGGAAAAGGGGCTGAGCAGGACCCAAGGAATGAAACAATAATGTCAAAAACCCCTAAACTGATCTTGCCTGCCTCAAGAACCGCTAAGCTACTGCTAACCATACAAAAATACAGTGGGTGGTCCGCTCAGGTCTAACTAGTGTTTTTAGACAATGTTTTTCCTACGGGTAATGTATGCCCAAGGGCAACTTGCTAAATCCCCCTTTTCCCAGGAACACACAACATAGTTACCATATAGAGTAAACAGCAAATGAGTGAGTACACAAAAAACAGGACACCACAGTATCCATACTCACAAATGAAAAGAGTCTCTCTGTCAGCAAACACAACTGACTAGCTTTTAAAACAATGTGATGTGAGTGAAAAACCAGAAACAGGTGGTGCAATGCAGAGGAATGTCCACTGATTGGTCCACCTCAGCAATCAGCAGACGAACGGATGTCGGACAGGTTGGACACCCCAACGAACACCAATCAGGAACACAAAGGACACCTGTGATTAGGGCAGAAGGAGAGGAAAAACACATACAGGATACCTGTATCCGTAACATGCACTTAGATGTAGCCTATGCCCTCTCTACTATCAAGTATCACATTATATATTGAATAGATATAGGCCTAATTGTTAGATTTAAACATCTCATAATTTGTATGCTGCACTGAAACATCTTGGCACTCTTTACAGAGCCCCAGCAAGGAATGTGAGCCGTACCGCAGCAGTGACAACAAGCCAATCGCTCCATGTGGTGCTATCGCCAATAGCCTCTTCAATGGTAAGATTTGAGGGCAAAATGTTCACTTAGCAAAAAGTTTTTCCATTTTCTGTGCCGCAGTCTTAGTAACATTACTGCACAAACAAATGCTCAACCACAAACTTACACAACACTATTTACAGTGCATTCGGAAAGTATTCACACCTCTGGACTTTTTCCACATTTTGTTAAATCAGGTTCTTGGTCACCTCCCTGACCAAGGCCCTTCTCCCCTGATTGCTCAGTTTGGCTGGGCGGCCAGCTCTAGGAAGAGTCTTGGTGGTTCCAAACTTCTTCCATTTAAGAATGATTGAGGCCACTGTGTTGTTGGGACCTTCAATGCTGCAGACATTTTTTGGTACCCTTCCCCAGATCTGTGCCTCGACACAATCCTGTCTCTGAGCTCTATGGACAATTCCTTCGACCTTATGGCTTGGTTTTTGCTCTGACATGTACTGTCAACTGTGGGACCTTTATATAGACAGGTGTGTTCCTTTCCAAATCATGACCAATCAATTGAATTTACCACAAGTTGTAGAAACATCAAGGATGATCAATGGAAACAGGATGCACCTGAGCTCAATTTTGAGTCTCATAGCAAAGGGTCTGAATACTTATGTAAATAAGGTATTTCAGTTTTTTATTTGTAATACATTAGCAAACATTTCTCTACCTGTTTTCACTTTGTCATTATGGAGTATTGTGTGTAGATTGAGGGGGGGGGAAATAATTATCAATTTTAGAATAAGGCTGTAACGTAACAAAATGTGGGAAAAGGGAAGGGGTCTGAATACTTTCCGAATGCACTGTAGATACACGTCTGCCTATTTGGACCAGCCCTTGAATAGAGTTTTTGGAGTGGATTTACTCTAGCTTGCCATTAAAGCGTCAGTGTTGGTCCACTATTTCAGAGACCGGGCTTGCTATTGACTGCCATGTATATCTCCTCATCAGACACTCTGGAGCTGTATTACATTGACCCCAATGGCTCCAGAACGGCGATTCCTCTGGTGAAGAAGGGTATTGCATGGTGGACGGACAAGCATGTCAAATTCAGGAACCCCAGTGGAAACAACAACAACCTCACTGTAGTTTTCCAAGGTGATTTGCATACCATGCAAAATGACACGACTACCTTGTAATAATCAAATGATCATGACTGACTAGGCCTTTTTCCTCCTTCAGGCACAAGCAAACCTGTGAACTGGAGAAAAGCTGTCTATGAGCTGGACCCATCGGACTCTGACAACAATGGCTTCATCAATGAGGATTTCATTGTGTGGATGAGGACAGCTGCCCTGCCCACCTTCCGCAAGCTGTACCGCATCATCCAGAAGAAGGCCAACAACTTGACCCCCACTCTTCCCCGAGGGGAATACATCCTGGAGGTCACCTACAGTATCCTTTTGAGAAAGACCGCAATCCATATAGATTCATGGTAGGCATACACTACCAGTCAAAAGTTTGGACACACCTACTCATTCAAGGGTTTTTCTTTATTTTTACTATTTTTTACATTGTAGAATAATAGTGAAGACATCAAAACGATGAAATAACACATGGAATCGTGTAGTAAGCAAAAAAGTGTTAAACAAATCAAAATATATTTGAGATTCTTCAAATAACCAGCTTCATGAGGTAGTCACCTGGAATGCATTTCAATTAACAGGTGTGCCTTCCTAAAAGTTAATTTGTGGCATTTCTTTCCTCCTTAATGTGTTTGAGCCAATCAGTTGTGTTGTGACAAGGTAGGGGTGGTATACAGAAGATAGCCCTATTTGGTAAAAGACTAAGTCCATATTATGGCAAGAACAGCTCAAATAAGCGAAGAGAAACGACAATCCATAATTACTTTAAGACAAAAAGTTCAGTCAATACAGAACATTTCAAGAACTTTGAAAGTTTCTTCAAGTGCCGTCACAAAAACCATCAAGTGCTATGATGAAACTGGCTCTCATGAGGAACACCACAGGAATGGAAGACCCAGAGTTACTTCTGCTGCTGAGGATAAGTGCATTAGTTACCAGCCTCAGAAATTGCAGCCCAAATAAATGCTTCAGAGTTCAAGTCACAGACACATCTCAACATCAACTGTTCAGAGGGGACTGTGTGAATCAGGCCTTCATGGTCGAATTGCTGCAAAGAAACCAATACTAAAGGACACCAATAAGAAGAAGAGACCTGCTTGGGCCAAGAAACACGAGCAATGGACATTAGACCGGTGGAAATGTGTCCTTTGGTCTAGAGTCCAAATTTTAGATTTTTGGTTTGACTGTTGTCTTTGTGAGACGCAGTGTGGGTGAACGGATGATCTCCGCATGTGTATTTCCCACCGTAAAGCATGGAGGAGGAGGTGTTATGTTGTGGGGGTGCTTTCCTGGTGACACTGTCTGTGATCTATTTAGAATTCAAGGCACACTTAACCAGCATGGCTACCACAGCATTCTGCAGTGATACGCCATCCCATCTGGTTGGGCTTAGTGGGATTACCATTTGTTTTTCAACAAGAAGGAGAGTGATTGAGTGCTGCATCAGATGACCTGGCCTCCACAATCCCCCGACCTCAACCCAATTGAGATGGTTTGGGATGAGTTGGACCGCAGAGTGAAGAAAAAGCAGCCAACAAGTGCTCAGCATATGTGGGAACTCCTTCAAGACTGTTGGAAAAGCATTCCAGGTGAAGCTGGTTGAGAGAATGCCAAGAGTGTGATCAAGGCAAAGGGTGGCTACTTTGAAGAATATCAAATATATATTTTGATTTGTTTAACACTTTTTTTTGGCTACTACATGATTCCATATGTGTTATTTCATAGTTTTGCTGACTTCACAATTTATTCTACAATGTAGAAAATAAAGAAACTCTTGAATGAGTAGGTGTGTCCAAACTTTTGACTGGTACTGTATATGTTTGTATTGAGAGAACATTGCACATAGGATACATTTACATTTACATTTTAGTCATTTAGCAGACGCTCTTATCCAGAGCGACTTACAGTTAGTGAATACATTTTTTTTTTTTATACTGGCCCCCCGTGGGAATCAAACCCACAACCCTGGCGTTGCAAACGCCATGCTCTATCAACTGAGCTACATCCCTGCCGGCCATTCCCTCCCCTACCCTGGACGACGCTGGGCCAATTGTGCGCCGCCCATGAGTCTCCCGGTCGCGGCCAGCTGCGACAGAGCCTGGATTCGAACCAGGATCTCTAGTGGCACAGTTAGCACTGCGATGCAGTGCCTTAGACCACTGCGCCATACATAGAGGCATATGAGTTTGTGTTCAGTTATAAACTTACTCCATTTAGCTATAATTACAATAAATCAACCTATGTCCAGTACAATGCTTACTGTACTGAATCTTTATTCTCTTTTACCATTCACAACGTCTACATAGGATATATACAATTATCTTTAAAATCTTCATGTCCAGATGCTGCTGCTGTCATTTCCTTTTAACCATGTGAACTCAGATTACCCCGTGCGGAGCTTCAATGGGAGGAAGCGCATGATCCTGAGCACCATCTCCTGGATGGGCGGCAAGAACCCCTTCCTGGGCATCGCTTACATCACAGTGGGCTCCGTCTGCTTCTGCCTGGGCTTAGTCCTCCTCAGCATCCACTACAGATATGGGAAACGTAACAACAGTGCAGAGATTTCCAGCTGAAGGGCTTCCTCATAAGGAGACTCTACTTCTTCCTCCCTCTGCATGCCTGGGTCTAGCCACCACTAGTCTGGCCCTGCTCTGGACTGCTTGCTGATTTAGCCTGGATGCACTGCTCTTTGTTTGTTAAAATGGTTGTGTTTTGGGTTGTAATGTTAGCTCACTCATCCCCACCTCCAGGGGAAGGCTGCAGTCAGGTGTTTTTCAGAAGGGTATGATATATATTTCAGCATGTTCCAGATATCTATTGTGTAGAACTTACACCATTGCGTATTCTCGGTGACAAAGAATGTCTGTTCTACACAATATATATCTGAATTGTCTGTAACATTGTGCCCTCCTGAATAAGGCCCGTGTGTGTTACACCCTGTAAACTAATGGGATGAGACACAAGAAGGCTTAGGATACTGTCTTTGTACGAGATGACTGCTGAAAACGTTCTCTGTGGTCCTGAAGTACATACTGTGTTTGTATTTTCTATTTATCCATATCTTATCTCAAAGGACAACATGTATATTATTTGAGCAATGTTTGTTGTGTATGGCTTGATGGCTATATTTTAATGTAAGTTCCACATGCATATTATTCTGAAATATTTCCTGTTTGTGAATGTACTAAATGTATTTAATTTACATACCTCTGAGGCTATTTCAAACAGTTTTGAATTGGGAACAAAAGTTCATCGACATGTTGCTTCTGCTTTATTCATAATGACTGCAAGCATTGATTATTGCAGGGTAAAAGAGCAGTCATCGATTTTTACCAAATAAATGTTCACATGTTGATTGTATTGCCACTCAACAAAAAAGATCTTATTCAGATTGGTTTGTCAATGTTTAATCACATTTTTATTTTTATTAATTACTGTATTTATTGGTCAAAATGTGCGTTTCTCTAATATGGTATGTGTGAAATCCTATTTTGTACTCTGAGGCTACATCTATAGCCAACTTGATCTGAAGTTTTTATGGACCAATGCTATTGACGTTGTCTCTACAATGAAACCTGTTGACTTGACTATCAAAATACATTTTAAACAAATTTAACAAGCATCATTTCAATGTTGACAATGCTATGCACTTTAAAAGTGATACATTTGTTATGCAGTACTTGAATTTTCCTTTGGTTGTTATCTTTGTTTTTAAAGCTAATTCCGCCCTTCTTTAATATGATATTGCATTGGATAATGTACTGATATTTCAAAAGTTAATAAAATTCGAAAAACTGTATTTGCAAGATTGTTTTTTGTTTCCCCCATCAATTACATTACTTTTATCGTTAGTGGCAGTTAAATGTGAGGCGCAGTCCTGGGTGTTGCCCAATGATGTATATAAACCCTAGAATACGCCTGCTACGTTTTGGCCAATGAGAGGCTTTGCAGCCACCGGTCCGCCATATTGGCACTCCTCAGAAAAGCAGTGCTACATAGGAATGAATAGAATTATTCAGTATTTAAGGACAGAATTACATGTATGTATGTTTGTATTTTGTTTTTGTGGGTACAGTATTTTATGTTTATCTTACATAACATGATGAAAGTATGCATTAAGCTGTCTGTAATAGAATAAACGTGGCAAAAACAAATATAGATATTCGTAAATGTATTTCTGTAGCGTACACAGGTATTCTATCACAATATACACCTTTCAGATGTTACTGCCTGTCAGTAGCCTATTGAATGTCAGGCCAGGCTTCTCTAAATGTGAGCAGAGAACACAGAAATTGCAAATGTCTTAATTTGAGCAGAGAACACAGAAATTGCCAATGTCTCTTTCTGCCAAACGGGGAAACTGACTTTTTCCAGATTGGCAGCAACCACCTTCAGAGACTACGGTGAACGTTTCATCCCATGTAGGAGCTGCACCTACTTTTCACAGTTCCGGGATAATATTGTCAGGCCAAATTTCCAATGTGGAAACTGTCAGCTTACTGAGGAATATATGTCTGTCCAGCTCAGACATATAACCAAATTGAGACATTGCAGCGTATCCTGGATAGGTCCCACTCTAACACCTTTTCCTTTTCTACTCCTCAGCCTGGTCGTTGTGCCACTGCCTCACCACCATGTTGCCACTCTCTGAATGACTGGCCAGAGCTGCCCTGCAGAGACTGCTCCCTAGTGAAGTTACCTCTCCCCTCCCATCTCACCTGCCCTCCCCATCCTACCCCGACCTCCCCTCCCACCCCTCTCCTCTCAGAGAATAAAGGACCAAGGACGCTTAATGAGGAGCTGGCGGATGCCACGGTTAACGATCCTGCATCCCAGTGGAGGCACGTCACACACCGTAAGCCCAGTGCAAGGCAGCGGTCTTTGGTGAATGGGGCTGAAATATAGTCCTAAATATTTCCCAAGCTAAAAGCATTGTATTTGAGACAAATCATTCACTAAACCCTAAACCTCAACTACATCTCGTAATGAATAATGTGGAAATTGAGCAAGTTGAGGTGACTAAACTGTTTGGAGTAACCCTGGATTGTAAACTGTCACGGTCAAAACATATTGATACAACAGTGGCTAAAATGGGGAGAAGTCTGTCCATAATAAAGCATACACAGAGAGCTAATGTAACCGGCACTGTACTGCACGGCTGTATCTCTGCGTTGTGTGTGATTGATTGGGACTATAGACGTGGACTTCGGAGATCAGGCTGTTTTAATGAATCAGAATTCTCTCTGCATCCAAAAGAAAATACAAAACATTTATAGAGCACAAATATGTTCTGCCCATTGTCGCCTCTTTCTCTCATAGTGCATCAAAATTATTTTTAGAATACAAAAATGAGTACAATCTCTCCTTATAATGTATCAACACATAACATACATTTTACATAGATAAAACCACATACCTGCATCCAAAAGAAAATACAAAACATTTGTAGAGCACAAATATGTTCTGCTCATTGTCGCCTCTTTCTACAACATAGACGCACAATACAAAGGACTGGGATCAGTCGAGGAGCTAGCCATCGTTCACACATACAATACCTTAGCTAGCTAGTAACCACATGTTGAATTCAGAATGTTAATATCATCCTAAAAAGTACAATTACAATTGCATCTTAACAATACCATCCACTCATGAGTAGACTCTAAATATACAACATTATTCATGAACAAAACACTGTGTGTATGACTTTGTGCTTGAAGGAATCTAACATTTTTTCTAAAGACGACAGAAAAAGCGTGCCTACCTCTCATAGTGCATCAAAATTATTTGAGCACGAGCACGCAGGGCAAAACGTAAGTACACACTCTCCTATTCCCAGGATGCAGGCATGCATAATAACAAATCAACATGCTATATTAATATATGAACACAGTGAAATTCACAAAGTACTTTAACAACTGTTACATTCACCCCTCCTGAATTTCACCAACCTTGTAAAACGAAACAAAATAATCTACCAAGCTCAAGGCATAATTCTGAATTCAGCGCAAAGCTACCCATAGGGTTCAGGGCAAGTGAAAGTTGGTCAGACCTTCAACTGCCCCTAGATGCATAGTGCCTCTTACACTATATCTACCTTCTTAGCGGTAAAAGAAACTGTCATTCTGTACTATATCTCTGTACTATGTTCAACTTGCACCTTCTGGGGGATTGACTCAATTAGTCTCTTGACAGGTTTAACTACCCTCCCCGCCCTTGTGCGACCCACCACTGGGCTAGGGGCCATGGTGACTAACAGTGGTTCTGGCCTTAGATCATTGATCAGAGGAGGGTTTGAAGGAATCAGCTCCAGGATCTCAGAAGTGCTTCCCGGGTCCTCCATGTCTTCCCTGTCCAGTTCATCACCGGAATGCGTGGCCTCTCCTGCATCTACATTGATCAAAGGTCCTGCAGCATCACTGTCATTGAAGTACTCTGAATCATCCATTTCAAATGGCAGGAAGTTCACCTGCAGCAGTAGATTTTTGTGAACCACCTTCTCTCTGCCATCGCGGCCTTGGATTCTGTATGTGTGAGTTTGTGGATTGACTGAAGTCACTGTGAAAATCTCGGGATTCCACTTGTAAGCCAACTTGTGACGGCCCCTTTCACCCTTGTTGGCGATGAGGACACGATCCCCCATGGACAAACTGATGCCTTTAACCCGCTTGTCGTACTCCCGACCTTGTCGTCTGTGTTGCTTGTCAGTGTGCCTTTGGGCAACACTCATAGCTTCCTTCAGCCCAGTGATCAGCGTCTCAACATACTTGTTGCAATCCATAACACTGGAGTCGTCCAAGACATTGTGGAACATCACATCCACTGGTAGCCGAGGGACCCTACCAAACATGAGAAAGAATGGAGCATAGCCCGTGGTCTCATGAACAGTGGCATTATAGGCGAATGTCAATGACTGGATTTGTTCAGGCCAATGTTCCTTGGTTTTCAGGGGTAGACTCCTGAGCATGCTGCCTAAAGTCCTGTTGAAGCGTTCAGTCTCTCCATTCCCCATTGGGTGATATGCCGTGGTTCTTGACTTTTGGACACCAGAGAGCTTAACCAGTTCTGCTATTAACTCGCTCTCGAAATTCGCGCCCTGATCAAAATGGATCCTTGCAGCAAATCCATAGACACAGAAGACATGATCCCACAGTTTACGAGCTACTTGCTTGGCTGTCTGGTTTCTGCATGGCCATGCATGGGCAAGTTTAGTGAAGTGGTCAGTCACCACCAGAACATCAACTGAGTTCTTCTTACTCTCTTCCGCTGTCCAAAAATCCAAACACATCAACTCCATGGGAGAGCAGGTTTTGATGCTCTTTAACGGGGCTCTAGCCGCTGGCTCTGGAGTCTTTGCTAGAACTTATCTCTGGCAGCAGTGTACATACTCCTTGATGTCTCTCTCCATTGCAGGCCAGAAAAACCTCTGTCTTGCCAGGGCTAGAGTTCTAGCCTGGCCTTGATGTCCTGCAAGGTCGTGAATGCCGGTCATTGCTTTGAGGATACAGCGGTAGAATGACACATGGTGGCCTTTCTGCGGCGTTCATGTTCATAGATTCTCTCCTGTACTTCACTC